TTAACAGCAACCCAGGTTGTTGTGTTGGTTGGCGTTCTTCTTCTGTTCTGGTTAAGACCCGACCTACCACGTGATAAAGGTAAACCGGTTAACGATTACCGCTCCTGCTATTACCGTTAGTATCTTTGAACCAACATGTTATCAGGGCAGATCATCTATCTAGAATCTGTAATCCCTATATAACCCCTATAGTTCCTGAAGTTTCCATTTTCTTTTCCATTATCCCCATATATCCCCTATATGATTCTTGGGCCCTGGGAGGACCTGAACTCGGCTTTGCCGGCGGTTCTGAGGGCGCTAGAGGCCGAGCATGCCTCAGGAGGCCGGCGGGAGGAACGAATGACAGTAGAATACCTCAGAATTGGAGGGATCCGGGATCTAAGTAGCTAGTTGAGCCATGCTCTAAATTCCTAACAGGGGTTCTATGAGGGATTCTATAGGGGACGACTATAGGGGCTATTAAGGGGAATAGGAGGAGTTTAGACTATTGCTCAGTTGGTGCCTGGTGCATTTCGGGACTCTACTCTCATAAAAACAGGTTTTGCGCCGCCATCCTGCAAGCAGGGCATTTGCATCACCTCAGAACTTCCTAGGCGGAACAGCGCAGAAACATGAATGGCACAGCAAGCGAAACATCAAGGAGCAACACATATCCTATTACAATGTAGTAGTTTACACTCCATTAGCCCTATCTAGCCTCAATATGCCTGCTGTGGCCGTAGTCTTGCGGCTGCAGGGGTTGCTCACGGGTACGCGGTACCACCCGAGTTTCAGCAAACTTGTCCATGTTGTTCTAAAGAAGCAGTGTCCCGCGCCCTACGAAGCCACAAAACAAGCTTCAGATTCTTGTAAAGGACCCTGAGACCCTGACAAGGGCCCTGCGATCCTATCATGTATTCCGAGAGGGTTTCTAACGGTGCCGTCATTATTACCTGGAAAGTCAGAGGGGCTTAGCAAGTAGGCTAGCAATGGGGATAACTGGTTATGATGTGGCTCATCCAGGCATACTGCTGGTATTGCCCCCACTCTGTAACAGTTGGATAGTATATATAATATGATTATATAGTCCTTCATGAGACCCCTACTATAGACTGTTACAGGGTGGGGGGAGTACCCAAGGTATACTTACTAAACCCCCCTGACTCTCCCAGTCCAGTATACATCCCCCGAAGATGGTGGTCCCATCTGCCGACAGGATCGACGGCCAGCTTCACGACCTTAGCCAGCGCATTGCGGTTGCAATTTCCTGGACCTCCAAAGTCTGTAGAATGATGGAGATTTGGAATGCGTTTGTAAAATGTTTTGTATGGATTGCTGACCATTATTCTACATGCTCTGGGGTCCAGGTGGGACTTTTTGGATACGCAGGGGGTTTTTGAGAAATGTGGGCTATGTGTTGGGCTGTGCATGTGCCAGAAAGGCTTGTCTCAGGGGTTTGAAGGGTCCACGTTCCAATGCTCCATGTTTGTCTGCGGAAAGAAAAAGGTGCATGCAGTGGTGAGAAGTGCATGTGCACTTCCCTGCTTCCCACGTTGACAACGTGCGTGCT